ATTAATCAGTTTCTATAGTTTTGAATAGTGACAAACGTGTGAAATATCTACATCCATATGATCTATGCAAATCCTCAAATTTCTAGATTAATTGATGGGATAGCAGTAGCAAATTCATTCCTTGAATATAGACCAATAGAATTGGTACAGTTGAGGTAGACAGTAATTCGAGTTGAGAATTCTTCAGAAAAAAGTTATTGTTATTGTTATTCATAACAATAACAATAAATTTACACCCATAATTTGTACCAACTCTGCACATCCCTGCGACACTAGGAATTTTGTTCATACCTCAAGCATTATCTGTTGATCGAAATAGATTACTTGTCGATTGGTAGAAGATGATATCTCTATATGAACGTGGAAGCTATCATTCAACTCAGTTTTGATTCATTATTGTCCAAAATCAAATTGGTATCGTATTATGTACTAAAGATGATTGTTTCAAAACTCAAAAATTACTAATTGATAACTGTTTTTACTCTCTTGATTTCTGTTCAGAAGTATTTTGTTTTCTTTCTAATTTTAATCGTAGAAAACACATTTACTGTTTTCTATGAGCATTAAAACTAATGGAAGAATCCAAACGTATTGGTTTCAGACATTTTTTCGTTTGATTTTTAACAAAAGTTTTGTTCTCTTTTCTCGCCGTAGTTATCAATCGATCGAATATCGACCATTTAAAATGAATCATTGTTCAGCATATCTTTATTTGATAATTTTTCTCTCAAGATCAAAATCAAATCTACGATAGTCAGGACTCACATGTTCAAAATAAATTGTCTTTAAAAAGGTCAACAAGCGATCTTATTCAATACATATTATGGCATAAAAGATAGAACATATGTAACATGAGGTTTGCATAAATGAAAGAAGTAACCATTTCGAACTTATATCAGCTAATAGTGATGCAGCTGATCACAAGCACGAACGATATCATTAGTGATGTTCTGATCGGAACAGAGCTGTGGATTGACTATGAAATAAAAATTGTTCTCAAGAAATTGAACGTTCCAACTATTTACAATGGTGGTCAATCTATAGAACAGACGTCGAGCAAGGATCGATCGTAAAGGAAAGAACTTTTCATCATTTGATAAGTCAACATTGAAATGAACCATTCAGCAAACGATCTGCATGACATAATGGCCATCAGTAGATACTTTGATCGTATTTCATGTGTCCATTTTCACACATGTCTCATTCATATATTTTAGAGAATTGTGTTACATTGTAGCCTTAGAATTCGAGAATGAGATTTTCTCTTTTTATTTTTTCAGTATCAAAATTTAATGTAAGAGATTATTCATTTCTTAAGGTAGTCTATTGTGTTTTGACTACGCTCGTTATCTTCAAGATCATATCTATTGTGCAAGAAGATATATTGAATAAAGAAACGAGTTCGAATTGTCTAAATCTCTGACAAACTATCAATCTGTCAAAGATTACTTTTCGAGCAAGTATTAACCAAAAAAACTGACTGCTTGTTAGATGATACAAAACATTTATATAATTAAACAAACTATCGTCAATCCTTGAGTGAAGCAAACATGCATAAAAATTATCAAATCTCGACGAATTCTAATGATTGTTTCATTATCAATATCAAAGAAATGATGCATCGGTTTTAAGTTAATTCAGATTGAAAAACGGAGTTGATTGGTTACTTAGAATTTATAACTCTATAGTGTTTTATGTTTGAATATGCTATGTATCACAGTTGTTTTCAAACTTAAAATTTCAAAGAAAAGATTTTTGTTGTACTTTAATATAAAAAAAAGTTTTATCTAATCCAAAGTGTGAATTTACATAGACATCCGTTTTCTTTTTGTGTATTATTTAATCACTCTATAGCCTCATATTTCTCTCTCTCGCATTATACGACTCAAAGACAAATAAAAAATAAAGAGAACAGGTAATCATCATGTTATACAATGCAGGACAATCAATTACAGCAATAAGAAGTCATAAAATAGACTCAGGTAAGAACTAATCATGTATCAATATATCATAAAATAAATTGATCTTTCTTTATCTACGAAATGGTCTATTATACTTTTATAAGGGTTTTTAAAACTAAATAAGAAGCGAATTCTTTATGAAATTTTTCGAAAAATTCTTTCATTCTTAGTCTGTTTCATCTTATTATTGAGTTATTTTTTTGTTATATATTCGAACACATGTAAAGAAAAACGAATGGTCTGTTCAGTGGGATACACATCATTCAACTGTTGATGCTGATTGTTTATCATTATATTTTTTTGAATAAAAGTAAGCTTATTTGAAAATCGACTGAATATTAAAAGTTTTACTTGTGAGCATATATCGACGTGATCAAACATGACGTAAATTTCATTTTCTTACATTACAACATTAATATCGATCTCAATGATGTCAACAAACTCTCTGAAATTTTTATCATAGATAGAAACCGTGTAGATCTATTATTAGTAAGGATTTCATTGATTTTTCTTCAAACATAGCTGAGCTATTCAAAAACTACCGAGTGTTACGGAATTTCAAAAAATCGAAATGTTTTTGTTTTTCAAGAAGCTGAAAGTATAGCATTTTTGCTGCAGAATGTAGCGACATATAACTTAACGTTCTATATAAAAGTTGTTCAGTTTTCAACGAGCTTTCAAAATGCTACGTGATTTCTTAATAAGTACAACTGCATTATAAAAAATATTCAAAGTACTACTCATTATCCTGATCTAAGAATACGATTCGTATACAGCCGTTTACAGTGAAAGACGACACATTAACGGAGTCGTATTTCATTGTAAATACAAGATCAGTAATATAGTGGTATGTATAATAGAACACAGCGACATAATGACAACTTTACGGCATCGTATAATGTCGTATATGATCAGTAATATCGAACTTCAGATCAAAAAATCACGGTCGTAAACGGCCGTTTTAGATGGTTTTTGACCATTTAGTAGGCGCAGTATTACGACCATATTTCATTGTATTGTAAACTATCGGATACATTTGACATACTTTATCAACTGTGTACGACACGATAAAATTCAGTCTTACTACCAAATATCAATCTGCAACTATCTAGGACCGCAAACAGCATGAAACCACAATAGACAATACCGTTTTTAGCCGAATCGGCGACTATAATTATTGTCATACTGCATGTTATAATGATAAAAAGTATACAAACATCCATTCATGGTAACATTAGACTAATTTACATTGATCCGTAACGATTCAGCTGCACATAGAATTTCATCGTGTGTCCAAACTTGCAGCTTGGACCAGAATAAAAGCAACAAAAAGCAAAAGTAACCAGATATTTGCCATTAGCGTCAGTTTTCGTACCAAATGATGTTTGTCATTTCATTAGAATACAAGAAAAAACTTTTCAACTTTCTTAACCTTAGAAATTTTCGAGAAAAATCAAAGGTAAAATTTTAATAAACCAAATACTGAATTTAGTTCAGAATTCGATGTTAATCCTAAATACATTGAAATATATGTAAGCTAGTGAAAACTCATGCATACTGCACGGTTGTTTGTTTTCATCACCGGAATCAAGCTTTTTCAAGCGATGAGGAAATTGTCAAAGATATAGTTAGAGCCGTTACTTCCACCATTTCCTCACGAATTATTTGTGTTGGTAGGTGCATGTGGGCGGTTATATGTTTGAAGTAAGGATGTTGGATGTAGGTGTAGGCGTTACTTCATGATCTCCAATACAACCGCAACCATACCCACCCACACCCACACCCACACCCACACCCACACCCACACCCAACATGCAGGAACACATAGTGTAAAAAAAACGACTAAAACAACCTCTGTGTTGTCCATGTTTCCTATGAAGAAATTCCCAGAAAAAAAACGAAGCCGAATGAAATACTTAACTCGTTTCTCGACTCATTTATTTACTTAACTCATTCAACACATACACTGTATATATAAAAGGCGGAAAAAAGAAATTTCTGTTCCATTAATAATGGAATTTTGACAACATGAGTTTTTTTCCATTTCTTTACGTCGCACTGACGTATTTCTTTTTCTGTTTATTTTGATTTCGTTGGTAGAATGTGTAACAGAACGATAAAACGTTTTTGATTGGTAACGAAAAATAAACCTATCGAATTGTCCAAGAGAGTCAATAAAAAAAGGGAATAACATCACTTACAATAGAAACCGGCATTTTTTTTTGAGTAGTTGAAGCAATTTTTTCATCATTGCTATTCGATCACAACACACATTGTGTATCAGAAACCATAGTGATCGAATGACTCAAACGAAAAACAAAATTACTGTTGATTGTGAAAATGTTTGAAGCAGTTGCTTTTCAATGCAATTTGACGGCCAATCGTATAACATTTTTTCGTTTAATTTAGATAGAAATTTTTACATGAGACATACGAAGAGTATGCTCACAGTCACTATGAAAAGAAAATTTAATATTTCAATCGTGCTGTGAACAGTTCAACTGAGTTGTGTTTTTTTTTTCGGAAGATAGAAGAAAATAATAATATTATATTTATAAGCCGACTACAGTTTGCATATATACCTGAAACCTATAAATTTGTTTCGAGTAAATCATTGAAGAATTTCGAAAAACAAATCATTGTTTTTAGAATCCTTGGATAGTTGTACTTTTAAGCTTTTGCCATAAAGAAAATCATGTCATAACTTTTATAATTCTTTAGATTCTTTTTGACATGGACAAAAAAAAACTAACACCAGGTAGGAAGTTTACTAGCAAGGAAACAACCACTCAATTTTTTTAAAATTTTTTCAAAGGTACCACAGCTGGTCGGGCTGAACCTCATGTGGGTACTAGTAAAACAGGATCCAGCACCAAAAATTTTCGTCTGATCTGGTTAGCTGATGAAATCGACGATCTCAAGAAAAAATATCCTCAATCATTTACTTATCTACAAAGTATCTTCGGCTCCTTCGATATATGCAGCCAAAGCGATCTATTTGTCAATCTTCTCCTCGAAATCACCAATAAAAAAGTTGTCATGATTGTCTCCGGTGGTTTGGGTGAAAAAACCGTGCCAGCTATTCATGATATGTCCCAATTAGATTCCATTTTTATTTTCTGTTATAAAGTAGCTTATCATGAACAATGGTCGAAAGGATATCTGAAAGTAAAGGGTGTGTTTAATAAAATGGATGCTTTGTGTCAAGCAGTACAACAATCTGTAGAACATCATGAACCCAGTCCAGCTAGGACAACAACAGTTATACCGAAGCCTTCACCTGTCGTACATCGTTCACGCACACCAGAGCCACCACCATCTCACTCAGCTCACCATGATAGAGTGCCTTCGGTCGATGATCACCGACGATCAGCGAGTCATCCACCAGAAATAAAAGATGAAGGGTTCGTAAGAAGAAAGGGAGACGGTGGTCATGGTTCTTCTCTAGCTTCTTCTGTGAAACCAACAACGACAGGCACGCCAAATTCGCAAGAAAAGTTACCGTCGGGCCTCGAACGGCTTGAAAATAATATAATTCAAACAGCTGAACGAAGAATACGAGAGAGTTTTCTTGAAAATAATGATATTAGTCAACCCCCATCGCCTAATGCTGCTATAATAGATCGATTGCAAGATACTCTAGTACAAACAATCGAAAAACATATGCCTAAGAAAAACAATGAATCCATTGAACTGAACAAAATGTTCGCTGAACTAAAACAAGTAATAATTGATTCAGTTGTGCAAGAACAGTCCGCATTATTACGAGATGTCATCAAACAAACAGTATTAGATGCTTTCAAGCAACAGCAGAACTCAATATTAGAGCATCTTCCTCCTCCTTCTACTACTACTACTAGTACCACCGGAGTGACACATCATTCAAAACCTACCATTATGGCGACCAATACTGAGGTTAAAATTGCTGCCGATCGTAAGAAGACACGTATTGATACTGATTTTCGACAGCAACGTGATGCTGTCGTTGCCAATAAGCGATTACGTGACGTTGTTCAACAATGGTCATCAATCAAATCAATGGCTGATCTTGCTGGCGAGATAAAGAAAAATGGGAAAAACAATTTAGAATGGGCATGGTTGCTCTTCTGTTGGATCGGTCAAAACATTCAATATCAACCATATTGTAATAACAATGCTGCTGAGACTGTTTTTCGTACAAGACAAGGCGTCTGCCGAGGCTTCGTTAGTCTCTATCATGAATGTTGCTCATTGTTAGGCATTGAATGTTCAGAAATAAGTGGCTATTCTAAACAAGCTTTTCTTAAACCAGGTGAAGAGCTCAAACAATCGCTTCACGCTTGGAATAGCATTATATTGGATCAGCACGCTTATCTAATCGATCCGACATGGGGTGCAGGAGGCAGAGATTATGATAAAAAACTTGAAGATTTCTACTTTCTTACATCACCTGAAGAGTTTATCTATACACACTATGCCAATGGATATCAATTACTCGATCCAGAAATTAGCAAAGACGAATTTCTTAGTTTGCCTGTAATGAAATCAACCTATTATAGACTTGGTTTGATGTTGCAATCACCAAAACAAGGTTTAAACGAGACAAATCAAAATTTATTTAAAATTGCAATTCGAACACCGGCACATGTTGATCTGTTTGCTGATTTGAAAGTCGGCGATATTGAATATCCGCGCAGTTTGCACACATTATGTCAACGAGATAAACGCAAACCCGATGTTTACAATTGTTATATTGCACCACCTCTCAATGGTCTTTATGAAGTAACTATCTTTGCAAAAACGAAAGATGAAACTATGTACGTAGATGCGATCAATATGCGCTTGCGTGTGTCGGATATAACTGACGCATTCATGTTTCCAATTATTTATGGAACTTTTACAGAACAACGTTGCATTTTGATTGAACCTTTTCAACGTCTTGTCCATAAAAAACAACGAGTATTGATTCATATGATAATACCAAATGCTAATGTAATCAAAATTCGAAACGGAGACGAATATATGGTGCCTTACAAAGATGAATATAAGAATGGTGTATTAAAAAAGGAAATAGAGGTTCAAGGTGATCTTCAAGTTTGCGGTCGATGGGATGATAAGGCCGATTCAATTTCAATCATTTGCATTTTTAACATGATTTGAGTATTTTATGCTTGACAAATATATGACTGATTTAACATTTTTGATTATCGATGGTCAAATTGAGATCACATTGCATTAAACAATTAAATACATAGATCGCTCTAAGAATGTGGATATGCGAACGTGGGTGGATTATTGTAGGAATGTGAATGTGGCTGCGTAGGTGTGATTACGTTTGAGTATGAGCGCGCGTGGTCGTAGTTGTGTGTGAGAATCAGCTAGGTGTGGGTTTGGGTCTTTTTTCACCTATCCTCTCCTACATTTGTCCTATACCCACATTCTCATGAGACAACTTCTCCAGGTGATAAAAAGCTTTTGAGCTCAAGTATTGTCCACAGGCAGGAAATGTATAGACTAGAAAAATCGTAAGACGGGATATGAGCTCAGTTTGCAATTTGACTGAGATATCGGCTTTTTATTACAATCTTCCTATAGGACTCTACTTTTTCTATAAAATCAAAGTTTCGAGTTTTGATCTGGAAGTTTACACACATCGAGATCTTAATGAGACTACTTTGCTTACAAAGTTTTAAAATTTCTTGATGAATCTCATATTGCAAATGAAAAAGCGATAGAAAAAGAGCAGATGCATATTTTGCAGTTAATGAACTATATTGAGAAATCGATATGTAAATACAGATTCCATAGGCTATTTAAGTTCCTGTTCAAGAGTATAATAATCATAGAAATGTTTCATACCTCTTAACTGAACATCAATATTCGCATGTTTTTGTTCTCATTTATACATAGTGAATACATGGGAAGAAAAATGTCTATCGCGAGTTGAAACAAATGAAAATTTTTATTATTGTCGGTCGTAAAACACTCACTGCTTTTGTTGTCGAAGTAAAACGCATTGAGTAATAGTATTATGTTAATAATTTGAAGCTACTCGACTTGAAAAGTTTCTAATAGAGAAATGAGTTGATCGAATGACACGCATTTAATCTAAAAGGCAAAGCTATACTTAAAAGAGAGACGTGAGATACTTGTTCATTCTTACTTGACTATAATTTCTTCCAAGATTTCCATTTATATAATTTGATAAAACTACATACAGAGACGAAGATAGAGACGATCTGACACAGACATGATCGAGACAGATAAGAACAAATAGTACTTTGATTTAATCGATAGTGAATGCCACTTAACTTATATACAATGATTGAGAAATGCATCTTTCATAGTCCAATTCATTGTCAAATATTCAAAAATGGTAATTAACCAACGAACGAAGCTTTTCGTGAATATTTAATCAAGTATCATTGATAGTATTCTAATTGGTCTATGCTTTGAACCAAAAGAGCGATGAAGTTTGTTTCTCCTTGAGTATTGGTTGACAATAAAGATGTAATTATACGATCATTTTTTTAGGAATAGAGGAAATGTTTGTAACTCGATTAAATGTATACATAAAGTACGTCGATCTTTTAAGCCTGCATCATAGATATATAAATAATCCTTGTTCTACAAAATGAGGTCATTTCTTTGACATATTTCATTATATGTATACACAACTTCATTACCAACTAGTGAAGTGGACGAATGTGCGCATAGTTAAATTGTCACATTTTGATCATGACACCGAAATTCCTTTGTGATCCTAAGAAACAATTGATGAGATCGCAAGAGTGATTCGTTGATGTTTTATGACAATATATAAGAATCCCGTCTGAACAATGTAGAACTAGATGATAGATACTTGTGTTTGACTATTGCTCACATTCAGCTCAATTCAAATAGACAACTGTTTCACCTTGAAATTTTTCCATTACATGTCAATTATCATATTGACATTGACAGAGTCGTTCTTCACTGGAATCTTAGGTTAGATGATAAGTTCCACCTATGTCGTATAGAAAAGAATTACACTCTTGTTGTCAAAAGTGACAACTGAGGCCAAAACAAAATTACGAGCAAATGCAAAAGAACTATCTGTAATTATTTTAGTAGTATGGCTTCCAAATTGAATCGTGTGAACAACACGAATGGTGCATAAGTAAATAGTTATCACATGAAACAATGCAAATTTTTATCACTCGTACTTGAAGGATTAATCATGCCTATGTGTATGTTGCAATTATGTTTGATTTATAAGTCATTAAAGCATATGTAAATATTTAATTGCATGCTTACGTGAGGAACAAATGGATTTGAAATTCATGACATCAATTCAAGAGGATATATTATTTCTAGCACTTATCTTTGAGGATGATTCTTTTTTCACAATCACATTGCACTTCACAGAACATAAAGCGTATATTTCGAATTTATTGAACGGATAGACTTGATTCTATCGACTTTAGAAATTATTTACCTCGAATATTCTTCTATAGAATGTCCTATTTCGATATCTTTGACTAAACAAGTTGACTATGAAATTTTTCATTGAAGATGCTGAATTCAGAATATCCGACAACAAATTAGTTCGTAGTAAAAGGAGAATGAAAACCATACAAGAGTTATCATTCATGCTGAGAAACAAATACTCTGCCTGATTTACTCTCACAAATCATAATAGCAAAAATGTGGTCATTGCACAAGAAATAATTCTGTTAACTAGCTATTGTTGATTTAGCAAAAATAAATTTAGGTCACAATCATTTCATTGTTATCTTTGATTGAACACAATAGTTAATCTTAAGTGTGAAATTCTTATTTTTAGCTTGTTTTTCACATGATGTTCCATGCGGATACGAGAAGTGAGTCATAGTTGCTACAATTGTCTGGACTTCATGCTATGGAATTCGAGATATTCCTTGAGAGTGGCTCGAAATAAAATATTGAAAACAGAAGATCAGATATCTTCCTAGTTTTTTCAGTATAAAACCTTCTATTCAAGGCACATTGCAGTGTAACTTCTAGAAACAAAAGATTTCAGTTGAGTTTCTATCACTCTATGACCAAATATTATAGTGATCTTCAAGTTGGGATCATTGAAATATTTCACTTGCAACATTCGCAATATTGTATATAGGTCTTGAAACACTTTATTATCGTTTCATTCATTGCTGCTCTATCATGAAGATTCATTATTCGAAAGGAATAGTGCCAATTAATCGACAATGTGTTTTTTGTATAGATTTTCTCAACCAAGTATACAAAATCTTCATAAAATTCGTAATGCACACTGTCTCTCTTCATGCACATATCTTCATTTGAAACAGTTAATCATTGTAAAAGTGACAAAAATACATTGCATTCAATATTGTGCATAAATTTGAAATGTCTGTATTATTATTTTGCGTTTTTTGAATTGATTCTTCAACGTTCGAGAAGCTATCATGTTGTTCGAAAGAAAACATAGATTAGAGATTATTATAAATCCAAATTTTACAACTAATTCTATAAACGTATGTTCCCTCATTTAAAAATAATGGATCTTCAGTTTAAAAATTTTCACATCCGAGTACTCGAGTAATTATTGATGAAAGAATATTGTGAGAAGAAAACTGTCAAAAAAAAACATTTTTTTTCTTTCAGCGAGTATTTTATAATTTGCAATGGTTGATGATATATGCAATCTTCGAACGCAAAAAAACATCGAATCACAGAAAAACAAAAAATAACTCCGTCAATGTGACGAAGCAATTTGATTATTGACGATGACAGATAGACAGAATAGAAAAGTACCATTGACGGGATATAGGTATTTACTCACAAGATTATTGACTCACTACCTATGCACATGAAGAGATGCTATTAAGTTATCAACCTTTATAAAAAAAGTTGTATTTGCACATCAAATGTCATTTGCAAACGTACTTTTTTTTTCAGGTAGATATATTATTATAACATTGTCAGTATGAATAGTAAATCTTCAGTTGATCATTCCAACAAAACTGAGCGTGCGTTACTCGTAGTCGATATTCAAAATGATTATTTTCCAGGTGGATTGTGGACATTATATGGCATGGATGCTGCTGCCGATAATGCAGCTCGTATTCTCGCAGCGGCTCGTACCTCTGGTGATCTCATTGTTTATATTCGCCACGAATTTACGACCAATGCTGCACCATTTTTTAAACCAGGATCTACTGGTGCTCAGATTCATCCAAAAGTGCAGAATTTGAAAGATGAATATGTTGTAGTGAAATATTACACGAATTCCTATCGAGAAACTAACCTAAAAGACATACTAGATCGTCATGGTATTCGACAGGTTGTCATATGTGGTGCTATGAGTCAAAACTGTATCGATGCTGTGACTCGTGCTTCCTTTGACTTCGGATATGACTGTACTGTTATTCACGATGCTTGTGCCGCCCGTGATCTTGAATTCAATGGAATGCCAATTCCAGCTAAATATGTTCATGCAGCATTTATGGCTGCCCTTCAATTTGCCTATGCTAAGACCATTTCCACAGATGAATATCTCGCCAGTGAAAAAAAGTAAAACTTAGAACTCATTCTTCTTACATGGTTTTTTTGACCTTGAATTTTTTGATATTTGATTGTCTCGCTGTTTTAAAGCTATTCAATTAGATTCATGTAAAACGTGTTATTTTACTTTTCATCATTAAATTGCATCCAAAGTAACATAAAAGGTTAAAGTATTAAAAGTTGAAATCATTTGCATAAAAGACATGAACTACAATATATGTTATCAAATAACAATCGATTTGTCTTTTGCAAAGATTGATATTATTCCTTTCATACATGTACATTCCTTCTTTTATTCATGTCAATAGGGTAGCTAAAAAGATGTTCCAAACAGAAACTTTAGAAAAGACTTCTATCTCACATCTTAACTTCATATACGATTTAATTGATATTTTGGAATATGTGAATCTTAACTTAAGCAGATCATCGTCACTCTCTCAAAGTACCGTATGATGGTAAAAAAAAGTGAGAGTTACAGTGAAAGTACGAGAACGAAGAGGATGATGATGAGATGTAAATCATATGAATGAGTTTATTTAATTCAACGTGCATTTATTTTCACACATCCACTCACTAGCACTACTGATGAGAAAAGTTAGGGATGGCTAAATTCATGTAATTTCCACATATCGCATCAATGATACCAACCGTAAGCTAACCGCAAATAACTGGAAAACGAATTAATATGCGAAACTTTCTGTCACCATCATCGAGTGTCACATGTGTAATAGTATTGTCACCAAGGAGAGAATCACAAGATCTGTTCAATCGTCATCATCGAAGTCACTGATAATCATCGATTGTAGATTCTGTTCTAACCGCGTATAAAACATGAGTAGAAGAGATCAATAATTGATATTTTGAATCCTAAATTATCAAAAGAAAAACTCATGTTAAAACTGGACAAATTCAAAAAGCGGATTTTCAACGTTATAACTAAACTAAGTGATTCATAAGAACAGCTAAAATCGAAGTAGTTCTAATAATAGTGGGAAATGATACAGCAAGAACCAATCGCTATTCACGTCGAGTAGAACATTTTAATATCAAATGGTCACGAAATCAGTATATCACTCTGATTAGTAGATTTGACAATAATCTCCTGTCTTGTCTCACTTTTATTCGTCATCAACGTTAATAATCTAATATCTTTCTATTACTTTAGCAAGACCATCAAAAACATAGCGCATAGTCATCTGTGTATGACAATAATGCCTAATCAAAGCAAAGTCTTTTGTATTCTCCAATGATTACAAATTCAATATAGTCGATCCTCACTGACGAATCACATGTAAAAAATTATGATAAAATAAAATTTTCTTACTATGCATGGCATTGTCACTGCATTTCAAAGCAAATATGATTTTTTGTTTTGCTCTTCGTTTATTCTTTTTGAAGTGTAATCGTAATTGTTATGTTCTGAATTAGTACAGATCTTCAATCAAACCGAAAATTAGTCGAAACTACTCATATATATCTTCGAGTTTTCTTGAGAAAATATTATACATGATTCTGTACCTAAGATATAGTCCTCTTCAAAATGTTACAGATATCTTTGTTATTAAAAAATCTAAATGACGTTCTATTACACTAATGTTCTTATATAATGAGTCAAACTACATCATATATTTAAAGATTGATCATTTCAATCGACATCATATTCTATTTTTATCCGACATCTGTTTTACTGTTTTTTAATCATGATAGACAATTTTTAATAAATCATTGAAGCAACCAACATCTGGACAGTCATATGAAACGATGCGTGAAACAATAAATAATATTAAAAAAGATCAACTAAATGAAGAAAAGGTCGAACTAACAAGTCAATAATGAAAATAGAGAAAACAAAAAAATTTTATATGAATAAAATATTTATTCAGGAATCTTATGATAAAACAATTTAAATTTTTCTAACGGCAAATCTATCAAGTTTAAAAAGATGTCTTCAACAATACACAAACTATGAATCTTAAGATGATTGCTGTTAATAAAAAACATTGAGATACAAAAAAAAAAAATCAATGAATTTGTAAACAACCTAGCGATTATTATTAATTAACAATAAGTTATTCAAAGATGAAAATCTACAATCGATTTCGATGATCAAAATTTTTATCGATTGTTCAATAGAGAAACAAAACAAAAAAACATCAGCATCATATATTTCATTTAATCAGACAAAATAAAAATTTGGTGTGGGTGTACAGGTGAGTATCTATGCGTTGGCGTTGTATGCGATTATATATTCATCGTGCTTCCGTAGACATTCACTATGCGAGTGGCACAGCAAATAGATAAGTCAGTAAAGATTTTTTTTTTCATTCTCTTATACCTTATGAGTCAGTTCTGCGCTAGTATTTTTGTTAATCGTTATCTCAAAGGCATATACTTACTTGAGTTCATGCAAATGGCAGTGCGCATTGATTTAAACATTCTTTCACTATCAAACTATGTATTACTACTTTTGAAAAACACAAGAAGTACATAATTAGCCAAAGAATTAGACCCTTTCTTTCACATGGACATGCTCTATTGCTCACAGGTCTATTGTCAGAAATTTTATTCTATTGTTTTCCTTCATGAAGACTCTAGCTGAACTTCGATCAAGTCGCTACATCAGAAAACTTGTTAAAGCATTGCATATCTCTAGAAAGTTCCTCATTTCAACTCGTATCTTTTAGTAGAAGCTTTTTTTCTTTGTTTTTTACAACTTTCACAACAGATCAAATGTACAGATCGTCTTTACTGTTACGATAGTTTCGTCATATTTTATACGTTAGTCTTGTATCGATTCCACTGAGAGCTTTTATTCAGATATCTCAAATATAACAAGTGCTCGAAACGATCGGAATTTCAAATAAATATGCGATTCTATTGAAGCTTTGTTCTTTCCTCTCTTCAAACCGTTATGGATTCAATATCAATACATTCAACATTAAACTCTTCCTGCTTTAAAGTAGCAAAAACAAAAGAATCTGTTCATATTGCTTAAGGTTTTGTTTATTTTCCAGATGACACATTTGGCAATCATTCAGAAATGATTATTCTTATGATTGGATTTGGAAATATCAATTTACAATCAGAGAGGAAATTGGTTGCAAAATAATGGTTCTAAGGTAATCATAAATTTTGATCATATGTTCGAGAAAGCTTTTGTAAATCAACGGAAATGATATTTAGAGTACACCAAAAGTGGTGATGCTAATACTATAATATTTTATAGAAAGTTCGAGAGAAAAAAAATTTACTGATAATTCTAATAGTGTTCTATAATTTTATAATATTTCATCGTTCTTCAAGTGACATCATAATATCGAGAGTTAAAAAGAAATATTGATGGTTTAACGAAGCAAAAAAAAATATATAGAAAAAAGTTTATTAAGCTTTTGTGTCAGCAAATATTTGAAGTAGTTCTTCTAGTCTTTTGAGTATGAAGTGTAAGTGTACCTGAAGCGAAGGGTATCACTCATATCCACATGCACATGAGTAAAAAAAAGTATGTAGAGAACTCACCGATTGAAATCAATGAACATTCATCAAAAGAGAGAATAATGAAAATAAACGGAATGAAATCGTTTGACGTAAGTATAATAATACAACTGATGAGTATGTACACGATATTGAATGGAATATAGTGTAAAATATACATTTTTCTCTATGGAAGATAAATAAATGAATGCTATGATGAAATGAAAGCATAAGATGATTTTAAAGAAAATAAATGAAATGAAGAAGAAAAACAAACATGAAGTGTCATGAAGATTAGAACAAACACTTTCTTCCTATTCTACAGTTATATTGTTCACAAGACTTTGCTGGATTTAATTCATGTAAGATACTTTTACTTGTTTGATTTTACTTTTTTTTCGTACCTTTTCAAAGTAAGATAGACATTCTCTACTGGAAAAACGAATTATCTTCGAAATATTGCTATTGAAAAATAGGTCCCTAAAGCATACAGATAGTTTATTGAAATAAAATTAGCATACTATAATTGGAACAAGTCAGACAAAATGATGTACGTATTCTGGTATCATATAATGAGCTATCTAGCAACGCATACCATACTAAAGACAATATTTTTAACGGCGTTGTTTGACCGACCGAATGCCTGTATTATCAATGACAAAAAGCCAATCGAGTTCGATGCTGTCGACATTTTCGAAAGGTGCATTGATTTCTTGTGTTTTTCCATTTGCTCGAGTAACTTCAATCGTTCGAATTGTTTCACGAATTTCAAAAGAACCTTTGTCAAATCCTGCTTCTTCAACGTGTGTTTGACCACCTTTTGGCAGTTGAAATTCAGAACGTCTTTCGAATATTTCGTCTCTTTGACCTTTTATTGGTTCGTATAATATTCGTACATAGACACTACCGTTAGATTCATTTCGAATTGTACACCCATGCACCAGACGTGGAGTAGCAAGGCCAACCATACCACCACGATACATGATTTTTATTAATGTTCGTGTTCCTTTCGTTCGATTGCTCGATAGAGCCGACAGAAGAACCGACAAATACAAAATATATTTTAATTGATGGCTTGCCAATGTTAAGCAAGAGAGAAAGGAGAGGAAAGGAAAGAACAAAAATGTGGGTAAAAAATACTTCGACAATCATCGGCGCATGCATTGATGCTCGGTGCATGTTTAAAAAAAACGTTGTACTTCACCAAGAGAGAAAATGATGCATTTATTTACAGTTAAAAAATTGTCGTGCTTTGCATTACAGTAGAGAAGAATCTATGAAAAGCTTTCAGCACTATGCTAATTAATTATCTGAAATACAAATAAATTCAAGGACGTAAGACAGCTCTTAACAATAGATGTAAATCCGCTCAGAAATTTCAAGTAGAAGAAAAAGAAGCCAATTTACATTTCTTGTTGACCTTGAAGCATATAGCGTCTTTTGAATATTTATTTAAAGAAAAGCATACTTCGAACGATTTTTTTCTGCTTTCTCGATTAGTCTATGCAGCGTAAGAACTTCTATAGATGGAGGGGGAGAGATATATTCGCGATGATATTGCTGACACTTTTCACCATTAGCCGTCGTCATACGTGAATTGTAGCCAGTAAATAAATGACCGTTCACCAACACTGAATTAAAGCAGTCCTAGCCACACTTTTTTTATACGCGTCTGTTGTTCAGCTAAAGATCCATCGATGCCTGCTATTTTTTTTCATCATTCTTTTGAAGCAACAGAGATGTTTAGAAATCGAGAGTTGAAAATGGGTATAATAGAGCTACAGGATGGGCCATAACTACCTTGGCGATAAAAAATTTAATTATTTGCATTTTGATTAAAGATATTGAACTGATTTTTTTTTACACATGATAGAGAAGTATTCAAAGTTCTTTTTTCTCATAAGAAAATCATTAATGAACAATGCTTTCAATTGTAGATATTCATTTCGATACGTATTATAACTTTGTACGGGTTTGGAAAAAAGAAATGTAAAATAGTTCATGCATATTTTAATAATTTTCGCGTCGATAGTAACGCGAGAAGTCAAGATAACCTTTGTTCAAAGAGTTTAAATGATGTATACAGACAAAAATGGTTGAATAGATCAATGCAAATGTTCAGAGTGATGTTCATTAGCATTAATGCATCGTGACAGTCTCTCCAAGTTTGGTTGCTGATGTCAGAGGATAGCAGATCCACATCTGCGTTCAGTCCAGTATTTGAAAACTATATATGTGGTGTTATTGAGATAGAAGAGAAGCGAACTCCGAATTACAGAACGCAAAAGACGATTGAGTATATACGTCGGAAAAGGAATACACACAAATTAATCTGTTTATTTTATTTCATATCAGTATAAAATATTACACCACCATCATACAGAAGTGAATGTTGATAATTGAAAGCAGTATTGATTCAAAATTTTCTTGCAAAAAACCATTTTGAACACTTCTCTATCATTGATAAAAATATTAGCTGAATATCTTCGAGTAGACTGGAGATATTCAAACTTTTTAACGTAAAAGTGTTTATGGTCCACTCAGTATACGGTTTAAACAGAAAATTTCACCTGACAAAATTTTCTCTGAAAGTCTTTTGGAAAAACAAAAATAGATAGATATCAAGTGAAGAATATGGACGATTCTTCTGGCATATTTATATTGCAGACTAGACGTAAAGAAGATTTAGAACCTTATATAGTGATGTGCTTTCAGCTGCTATTCTTGCTTAATATTGGTGCAGTCAAAATAATTGAAATATTGATATTATTTCATATAAGACATAAAACTAATATAAAATTCAAATTATTGTGATCAGATGAGCGCGTTTTATCTGATTTCTAGATATCGTATTCCCATAGTATTTTCTGAGAAGCACTTCTCTACCACCAATATATAAATTAAAATAACCTTCATCCTCAAAATAGTTAATAAACAGAGCTTGCTTTATTTGTTACTCATTATGAATTTTACTGATATGATTTACTCAGGTCACGTCTGAGTACCTTTTATTAAATCGTTATCGGGACAAAGATCTGATTTTTGAGTTTCGATTCAGATACTCTGGGATTTAATTGATTTTGTCTGTTTATTCAAACTACCCATGATCAATAGTACTTTATAGACAATACTAATTAGAGAAGATCAAATTGATACCAAGTTTCGATGGTTCACTTTCAATGATTTTTGATCTAGTTTTCTCGAAGAATAGTGTAGAATATTTTATGACAGAAGACATGCTACTTTCGGATCTGCTGAACAAAAATATTATCTTATGCATGACTCTTTATTCTACTATTGAAAAGAAGAAATAGGATAGTCAAGTGTTAATAAGCACCTTTTTTTTGGACATAAAATCTAATTTTTTTGGCAAATATCGATCTACGATGGAAGAATTCCATACTATGTAACGAAAACTAGTGTGATAAGCCGTAAAATAACAAACTTTCATCATATTATGATCAGAGACAGAATGTGGTTCATTCTATTTTTTTTGACCAAATGCTGTTTTAAAATGACGCTTTGTTGAAAACTTATAGTTTTTATTTAAAACATTTAAATAAGAATGTTATTTTGAGTACTATTATTTGTTAATTCAATAAATGAAATAGAATCGGTCGATAAATGTAATTGATCTGCAGTCAATTCGTTTGCTTCTTATAAAACTGACATCGATTGATTGAATATCTTCATATGTCCAATCGTTTAGATGATAAAATAACAATAATTGAAAACTATTATTCTTATTGTTACATGGTGCAATACCAAAAGTTGGTTATTGTGTTTGATTCATTTCTATAAGCAATTTTTGGCATTTTAATTTTCCGAACAATTTCAAATCAGATAAAATAGGTAAATATAAATCATAATCGACTAGACAATGATAATATATAATGAATCATTAGTGCAACAATACGAGAATAATATTCTATGTTACATATGATATAATTTGAATTATTATATATATCATAAACTGCATTGACAGCAGGGTCACATCCATTAATGAAGATTGATAAATTATTCAAATTCATTACAAAAAATCAAGTTATTATGAATATCATTGAGAACTTTTGAAAGACTCGATGACTGACAATCAACTTTATGACCGTGAGATTTTCGAGAAAAATTATAAGTACCTTTGCGTAAATTAAAATAAGCTTACTTTATAACTGAGAACTCAAACTCAAACATTCTATATAAAGTGATTAGTTCCTAAATATTTTTGCAGTTCCAAATATTTCATAGAAATCTATTAGACGTGAAGATATTCTCAATTAAAGGAGTGCAATTCCAATCATTAACAAGCGAATAGTGAAAGGAAACCAAATATGTAATGGAAATGTCTATGAATAATTTGTCTAAGTTATCTAAATTTATTGCCTGTTATTAAAAGAATTCTAATTTCAACCACGTTTTCATTACAATTCACCGAAGAAGGATTTGATCAAGCAATGATAATATAGTATAGAATCTTGGAAGAGATCATATCATATTTTGAATTCTACCAGCGATAATCTGCCCCGTGAATTTTAACATGAGCATGCTAAATCTTAAATCGAAAGCGTTTATTAGAAGTTGAGGTGTAAACCTATAGATTGAGCCGTCACCGTCATTCCTATACATAGTTGCCGAAAATTTCAGCTACTACCGCTGCGACAGAAATAAATACTCAATTTTAAAAAATTTTCGATATATTCAGGATAAGTTTTCAGGGATATTCTTTGCAAATTCTTTTCATTAAGTCCTCTACCATCATTTTCTCTCTTTCTCATTCCAAAACCTCACGAAACTAAAATAGTTTTATAAAAATCATCGAAAGCTTTCAACCACTCAAGGATACAATGGGTACGCACGACAAAACTTGCGCATGGAACGAGAGATAACGGTTCGGAAACAAAATGGGATGTATTAACCTCACTACATCCACATCTTCATTCTCACACCGCGCCATCATTCAGCGCCGTCAGAATCACTGTGCATATCTTTTGGGATTCCCAACCACTTACGCCGATTATTCCATCGGCTTACACCTTTAATTAGAAAGTGTTGGATAAGTTTCAAGATATTGAAAAAGTAACTTGTGTCACAGACACTTTCTCTCTGATAAGTGTTATTAGAAACATCTTTAATAAATACCCAAACTTAAAAACTAAGCAAAAATAGCCGATGGCGACTGATACAGGTAGCATATGCGCCAGCAATCTTCATTGCGACTGAAAATCTGCCGCTCCTGCGATGGTCTTCGAGAAATTCTTCGAAAATTTCTTTCGTCGCTGCGATAAATTAGCACAGTTAGGTTAAATCCATTAGATTCACCACGATTCTGACTGGGAGACTTGTAGATACTCAAATCGGCTGCTAATTCATGCAGTTTTACAATTTTTCTAGAAAAAGAAGCTGCACTGCAGCACCACTCCCACGATAGTATTTGTGAAACATTTCCTGCGCCACTATGGACATCTCTCATGAACGCGCTCACATTCATGGGAAGGCACGATATTGATTAAAGTGTAGCATTTTTCTAAGAGTCTTAAAATATACATACAATGAGATATAAAAACAAATTAAGTAGAATAACAGCGGTTAACTGGCGATTTTCGAGCGGTTCACACGGCATGGGTCATGATTATGATGTACATAGTATGAAGAACACCCAAACTAACGAAATTATGATATGTAGTAACATGTTTTCAATTGATTCTTTTTTATTAATGCTGTGGTACTAAGAAATACTAAACGATCCATGTTTAAAATATGATAGTAAGATTATGCATTATTAATGTCAACCATCATGTTTTTGCTAGACGAGTGAATCTGTTTCGTATAGTTGATATTAATACATTGAAGCCAGAGAGATTATCAACATTAGTGGTATCATCGTATGTCTCGTTGCAGACAAATGTTTAGGGAACAGCGGAGTCGCGTTTTTTGATTCCGACTCCGAAAAATTCCGAATTTTTTTTGTAGTCTAGCGACATTGGATTCATATCAATATTGATATCTTGAAGGGATAAAAAAGTAAGCGAATTAGTAAGAAATGAACAGCTTATTAGTATATTGAAACAACAAACAACAATATGAGTTAAAAGGTTTTAACAAAAAAAGAATTTGAAAAATTAATAAGAGATGGCGATTCATCAGTAGCATTCATTGAGAGGAAAAAAACATTAAATTCAAGTGAATTGTGGAATTTTTTTCATTATATTTTTGTAAATGATGATTGACAACAGTTTATGTGTTGCGATGCACGCAAAGGACTATTGCTACATTCATCGTTAAATGATACTAATAATTTACGTACACATGTTAAATCGTGTCCAAAGAAAGAGAAATCAAGTTTTGCTTATCAAAAAACTGTTCACGACTTTTATTCTCCTTTGAAATCATCACCAATTCCAAGAGAAATTAAATTTTCTGTTACAGAAGCTTGTACAGAGTTTTGCGCTCTTGATGCACGTGCATTTGATGTTATGAGAGGTGATGGATTTAAAAATTTAGCAAAAACTTTATTTGATGCTGATCGAGCCACCAGTACATCATCAATTGAAATAACAGATCTTCTTCCACATCCGACATATTTCATGAATAAAATTATTTCTAAATAAAAATCGAACTATTGGATTGCTGCACTCATATAACTCAGATATTAACCCAGAAAAACCATTTTCAATAATTCATACTCCGACCTCATTGGAGTCAGGATCGGATTTCGGAGTCCGATGCAGTTTACTATTTCGACTCCGACTCCGGCGCAGTTGGAGTCGGAGTCGAAGTCGGAATCGAGTTTCGGAACTCAATGCAGTTCACTACTTCTATTCCATCATCAAATCTGATTCGGACAAATCCTGGAACATCTGTTCGAATGAGATTCTTTTCAGATTTGATGATGCCACAATGCATAAGAACGTCGATATCGTGAATATTTTTGATTCGTCATATGACATGCATAAGTTTGACCTTCTGCAGTACTTCCTGATAGAAGAGAAAGACTCCCGCCAGTATCTGGTGTCATCATTACGATAGTTAATTTTTCTTTTTTTTCCTATCGTGAACTTTCGGACGAGTTATTGATGAATGATACTCAAATGATGGACCTCGCGGTCGAAAAGGGCTTAAGTGTAGGCACGGATAATACTAATTCAAATTCATTCTCTCAATATGAGTAATACTGCGAACAAGCTTCGATAGAAAAAGTTTGTGTTGACACCTATTGTCAGTCAACAATAGAGCTGCTGCTGAGAAAATAAACTAAAATATGCTGAATATTGATTTTATTGCTCGTGTCACGTTGTGAGCAAGACATTGAAGAATGAAATAAAGAAGAAAAGAACGATAGTAAGAACGAAATGTCATAAGTGGATACCCGTCAAGCATTGGCAATCATTACCCTAATAGTTACTCTTTTCTTTTTCTTTTCTGCGGATGAAATTCTGTTGGTAACTTCGAAGAACGGATAAAATCATTGATCTAGTCAGAGTATAAGGTAGACTGTATCGTTCATTATAATACATTGCAAATCAATCGATCATATTGAGGAGAGATACGTGTTACAATGCCGACTATAACAATCAATAGTCAATTATTGTTTCTTGATAAAAAACCCTTTACAGGTTCTCAAATGTTATTTGAAAGTTGTTGATGCATGAAAATCTTCAAGCGATTCTTCATTTCCAATATCGGCAATGAATGAGAAACTGAAAATAGCATGATTTACTATAATCTGTTCTGTTATTCGATGCAACTCTGATGCATATCATCTGAAGTCATTCAACACGCAAATCTTGAATATATTTCTGACTTGATCACTTGCTTGTATGTTAAATTGTCAAGATGCGATAAAAAAAAATGTCTCTTCATGTTTCTACCAAGTGATTACGAATCAAGAATTGCTTTATTACACTTAGATTAGTATTATAGTATTTACCAAAAGCAATAAATCAATATGAAAATCTCTCTCAAATCATTTATGTACATACGGAATTGGTTGGAAGCTGATAAAAAAATCTACTAATTTATAAATATTGATTATTGTTCTGTCAATCATTCTTACTATATTATCGATATTTACTACTTCAAGAACAACAACAATAATCTAAAAATCATTTCAAACTTCTTGTATTACTAAAGACGAGTCCGATACAACATCAATCTTGACTTATACGAACTCATGGTAAAGAAATATAATAAATAATACTCAATTCTTCATTCATTGTTGCTTATAACAATACAATTAGAAACGTGTCATACTTCTTTTCTATAGCTGTTTCTTACTAAAATTAGTTATTCTTTTTATTTTCTACTTCATAAAGTTCTAGCGATTATATCGTTAGCGTTATATTCCTGCAATTCAAAGTCAATTTCTTCTTAATGTCAATCCATCTTTTAACCATGAATATATGTTATCTTCTTTTCAGTACTTATAAATTGAATCGGTGAGCAAAACTTTATGCATAGTTTTAACACATCTAAAAACAAGATTTGACATTTCTGGGTAACATATTCCTATGTTTTATTAGAAGTTTGAATTCCATTTATAAATATAGCAGGAAGGATACATTCAACATAATTTAAATAGTAAAAAGTATTCGACAAGATCTAGTGAACCAGATTGATATACGTCATGCTAAACTTTTACTGTTGTATTTATGTGCAGTCTCAATATCACTACTTCTTACTTTTGTTTTTTGTTGAATTTTCGTTGATGTACAGGAAGTGCTACATGTCCATTCACGATGGTTTCGCATAGATACTATATACTTATTTTATTCATTGGATAGTGTGAGTTTTAGAAAGAAGCTTTCAACGTCGCCCATAGACATCGAAAGGTAAAACATCGTGAAACTGAGGTATGGATGCGGATGTTCTCCACAGAGTATTGTTAATCTGTTTCGTTCACAGAGAAGAGCAGATCAATCGTGAATGAGAATATCATTCGAAACAGCATGTTCTTTCGTCTTAGATCATCACAGATGCTGAACACAGACTCATTTTTGGATAGGTTTCTATTTGATATTGGACAGAGAAATCATGGCGAATGGTCTACATCAGAGAACCAATCAGCATCAAGGATACTGGATTCAGCTTAAGTGTAGGCTCTACAGCAAAATGATAGGCTTTTAAAGAATTCGAATAACGAATAAATAAAACTAAATGCGAACGGTCTTCACAAAGTAAGGATTAGATAAAAACAAGCTAAAGAGTCTATGCCTCACTTTCATCTATGATATGCTTGATTGAGGATAGATGAGTGCAAATGAGGGGTATCGATAACTGTTGAAATTGATCCCTTCGAGAAATTTGATTTCTTTTATGTCAAACTGTCATAGAAGGTGTTTGCAAGTAATCTCTGGTAGAATTAGTTATATAGCACTTATATGTGCTGTGCACAGGTTAATTGAAATAGTCAATGATTATCACTTGTATATTGAACCTAACTGTGATAGTAATCAACACTTTTTATCTACTCATCTCATAAGCAATCAGAGTAGTTTTCATGTGGTTCAAGAGCATTTTTCAAGTGCTTCGAATTAGTATGATAATGAGAGGTAAAAAACACTGATCCTACAATGAAGTTCTAAGGACATTCTCGAAACACGATTTTGCACCCTTTTTTTCACTGGTATTCAGTTAATTGTGATATGAAAATTAGGATTCGAGTGAGAACAAATATGGCACTCCGAATGAGTGACCTAAAATGAGTGGACTTACGTGTATTTCATATATTTTCGTAGACTTTCTTTTTTCGCCGAAAAATTCACTCCTGCCCTCTCAGGGCTGGACCAAAAAATGAACTTCATGAAAATTTTGTTTTTTTTATTTATTCATCTTCTATTTGGAGTTGTACCATGGTTTTATAACATCAGGACTTGATTTCCACTGCCAAAACAACTTTTAGATGAAACTCATTTGTTGAACTAACTTTGAGAGGCCAGTAGTGAGTTTTTCGACGAAGAAACAAGTTAGCAAAAAGATTTGAAATACATATAGTTCCACTCTTTTTGGAATGCTAATTCACAATATCATATTAGTCCTCACTCAAATGTTTCTATATTGAAGTCTACTGGATATTAGCAAAAGAAAGGTCCACAATCTTCTTTCGAGAACAATGTCCTTAGGACTTCATTCTGAGGCTAATGGTTTTTCCTCGATATTTTTATACCATTTTGAAATGCTTGAAAAGTGCTTCCGAATCATGTGATAATAGTCCGGTCGCTCATGAAATGGGTAGATAAAAAGTACTGATTATCATCAACAGTTGGATTCAATAAATAAGTGATGATTATTGACTATTTTAATCGTTCTGTGTACAGCACAAATATGTGCTATATGACTAATTCTACTGGGAATTACTTTCGAAAGCCTTGTCTGAAAGGTTGACATAGAAGAAATCAAATTTCTTGACGGGTCAATTTCACGAGTTATCGACTTCCTCTTTTCATTCTCTTCATCGATTTACAACAATAAAAACAGAATGCATCGATTTCGTATTGATTCGTTTATTGTGAAGTATCAGCTTATGTTCATTAACAAATGTTTTCTCTTCAATCATCCGCTGATTATAGTTTCATATTCAAAGACTGTCATTTTCACTTCAGTGATAAGTTTTAGAATATGATATACTTATCAATATAATACATAATTTGATGCAAGGTCATTTATTTCTTTGTTCGACTCACTTCAAACAGAATAGCAAACACTTGAGAATAGTATCAATAATATATCAATATTTGTCCGGCATAGTCAATTCGAAGAGAGAGAGAGAGAGAGAGAGAGAGAGAGACATGGTGAAAAAGCATGTCGTGAGTAAGAAAGAGAACAAGCGCAACATATTTAAAATTCAGATCAGTATGTGGTTAGTTCTTCATTTGTAAATACAGGAAAGAGAGAAACGAAACAAACATGAAACGAAATCTTTGTCTCGTCCTTCACGATAGTAAAAAGAGGCAATTAACCACGAAAAACACGTATAAAAACCACAGTCACCAAACGGTGAATGGTTTTTTTGTAAAAAAATGTCGTCTGATTCACGTATCGTCATTATGGACGAAAACAAGAAAAACGAGAATATCGTTGCGACATATCATCGTCGAGATGTACAATTTGATTCAGCTCCTTCTTACACATCGTCATTAGTTGTACATCTTCGACAGCTTCAACAGGATTTTCAGACACAACATCAGCATGAGAAACATGCACTGAATGAATTGAATGAACGGCTTCGTCATTTTATTGATCGTGTACAACACTTGGAAGCGCAAAATGCAAAATATATTACACAAATTGTTAATTTTCGACGAGCCAGATCTGATTCCAGTGGTGCAGATATTGAATGGAACGAACGTTATCTACATCTACAGTCTGATCTCATCGCGGCAAGCCATGGGAGTATTGATTGCGGACTCGAAATCGAAATGTATCAATTACAAACTGCAATTTATCAGCAATTGATCGGTCTTGAACAAGAATGGAAAGATGATCGACGTTCAAAATTAGAACAAGAACTTAATCAATCGTCGTTAACTTTAAATAGTGTACGTGCATCGAATTCAGAATTAGGACGAGAAGTGGAAAGTCTCTATGCCGCACGTAATGATACCTATCAAAAATATTTGAGACTGACACAAGACTGGTCTCATATGAAGAGACAAAGCAAAGAATGGGCATTGAATATGCAATTGTTGAAGAATCAGATTGCATTTTATAAGAATTTACGTTCACATTCGACAAGGTCAGTAAAATTCGTTTGTTATTGCTCTTTTGATCGGAGAACTTTTTTTCTGTATATTGAAGAGGATACACATCAGTATCAGCGGGCACGTTTGATGTCAAGCAATTCTGGGCGTTGGAATTAGATAAAGTGATCAAAAAAATTCGCCGTGATTTTGAAGAATTATATAGTATGTTTTATCGTGACATGATGGTGTTTTACAATACACAGTTGGAAGAAGTAAACAAAGAAGTTGAACAAGCATTGCGCTATCAGTCAACTGAAGTCGAGACATTCTCAGCAAGTCAACAGACACTACAGATCGAATACGAAAAAGTACAGAAAACTTATTCTTATGAAAGAGAAGTTATCATGCAATTGGAAGCCACACACTGTAAGTGATTGTCAAGTTTTCTCTTTACTAAGTAACGGCTTCCTTTCTAGCTAAATTTGAATTGGAATTTCGATCAATTCAACAACAAAATGACGAGCAATTAAACTTGCAAGCCAAAGATGTAGAAAGCTTACAGGAGAATCTCATGGTAATAGCCTATAATATTGAAGAAATGCGACGAAGGTTAGAAAGCTTCCTACTGCTTAAGAATAAGCTACAATAATCTTACCGAATACTTTTAGAAAATTCAATCTGGAAGGTGAAATCATCGTCTATCGCAACTTGTTGGAGAGCTATGGTCTGCACGAGTACACAGTGCGTGAACCTTCTCCTGCACTAGTGGCAAGTACCTTGACAAGAAAATTCATTGTGAAAAGCCAAAAGAAGGGATCCATTGGCATTCGTAAGTAAAGGAAATGGAAAAAGTAACAGCAAAAGAATCGATATTGTTATTTATTTTAGGAGAATGTCCACCTGATGGAGCATATATTAGCTTGCTGAATCATTCGTCGGAAAAAACCGTAGATATTTCAAGATGGGTGCTCAAACGACGTGTCGATGGAAGAACAGAACTTCGATATTCACTGCCTGATGGAATTCGACTTCAGCCAGCTAGTGAATTGAGAATTTATTCACAACAAGGTGCTGCTGTGGCTAAATCATTGAAAAGTTTTCGCACTGGTACTTCGGGACGCCAAGAACTAGTAAATAATGAAGTTGTTTCGTGGGGTATGTAATTGTGTGTACTTACGTGATGTAAGAATCTATCTCTAATATTGTTTAGGAGTTGGAAACTCGACCGAAACATTTCTGCTCAATCAACATGGCGAAGAGAAAGCAATATTTTTACAGTCGATTGCAGCTACACCCGATAATTCCTAATTTATACTGACCATGAAAGCTCAAGGAATCCATGACTATTAAGAACTACAATAATTTCATCTATCCGCTGCTTCTTTCTAACCTCATAGAGTATTTTATCATTATTCTTTAGTCTTGCATAAAGCTAATAAACATGAAAGAAAATGTTAAATGCATGTATTTGATACTGAGACATATTCACGTAACACTTCATATTGATCTCAATATTTTTTTAGACACACAGTTCCTATTTTTTTTCAGTTTAAAATTTTTGAGTTCATCAAATAACCGTACCCTATGAAGTAGAAAATGAATTATAGAGAATAGAATACGATGTTCTAGGAATCCTCATATGAATTCGACGATGAATTTCTAATTTTCTGAAAATATTATATTAAAGAAGATATAAATTAAGAGTCTAATTTTCTAAGTGAAAAATCAAAAGTGAATTCGTATAGAATTTAGCGACTAAGAGTATTTTCGATAAATTTGAAAAGCAATTTTTCTTTTCATTTCATATTTTCATGTCTTTTATTTATTGCATTTACGTTCAAATTATACATTATGAAAAAAAACGAAAAAGTTGCAATTAGTAAAAAAAAATCAACAGTTCAAAAACTACTAACAATAGAAAACAAATGTTAACAACATTTGAAAACAGTATACAGAAATAACTATATCGTATACTTGATTCACACAGTTTTAGAAGTTCTGGATTACGTACAATTATACTTAGAAAAAAAATCCTTTCATAGTGTTTTGTTGTTCAATTTATACTCATTTGAAAATTGTTTTCCAGCTCATGATCAAGAACATAAACATTTTTTTAATGATAAGTCATTCAAGATCTCTCACGTAGCTCATACTTTTGCTGGATATTCTATGCTGAATGTTTCGTACAATTCAATTAAAACAGTCATAGATTCAGCTTGTGAATTCATAATAAGCGTATTGTATTCAATAACAATGGAGTCATTTTTAATATTGTTACTTTTTTGCACTTGTATGATTCAATGGGCATTGATATGTTCCTAAAAATGAATAACAATAAGTTTAAGCAGTGAGAACCAAACAATAACTTAAAAGTTCAACAAAACTACTCACATGGTTCAATAACAACTTTTTGAAGTGTTCGCAACGTTTCATAATCAAGTATTCCAATATTAAAAATGGTTCTTCCTCTAAAATAAAGAGAAAAAAAAATCAACTAAATTCAATAAAATGTTTTACCTTCATCAATATTTTCTTTTCGTTGTTGATTCAAATATTTGACTAATTGTTTAAGGCTTAATTTTAATGCTTGAATAATACCTCCATTAAATGGGTCATATTGAAGGTTAATTTTATGAATGGTTTGTTGATAAAGAAATAAATACATAAAGAATAAATCAATATATACACTCTTTAATATTCACTAAGTTTGTCACTGACAGAGCTGAATATAACTCGACAATTTCTTTGACTGATTTCATCTCCTGCACAAGGCGTTAACGATGGGGATATGTTATATCAATTTTAGTTTTACCTTGACTGAATTCATAACTTCTTGTACTAATTAAAACACATGTTGATTCTGTATATTGAGCCAATTGCATCAAAAATTCTTCTAAATATTTATTTTCTTTGACTACATATTTCTAAAAAGACAAAAAAATTCTCAAAGAACAAAATAATAGTTCGATTCTTACTTGATAAGATACCAATTCAACCTTTACAAATTTTAATTCTCGTCCTGACATCTGGTGTCATATGATTGATGTTTTTTCATCAAAACTTCATTTGAACAACCGCATACTTATCGATCAAAGGAGAATTGTTGTTTCAATACTGATGCCAATAGAATCTAAATGACAAAAAAGTTAAATAACGATAACAAAAGTATATGACTTTATACCAAGCATATCATATCTTCACCAAATATTTTGCAAAATGCTGAATATTTATTTCTCATACTAACTACCATTCGATCAAATGCGAAAGATGTTAGATAAAAATCAGTGCCGTAAGTATTTATTACATCATCCCGAATCATTTTAACTTATCGTTGTTTCTTTCTGTATCCTGCTCCAAATTCAGCCGATAATCAACTTTCAGCAGCTAATTCAAATGCTTTCTCAAAATCTTGGAAGCATATAATTCAATGGAAATTTTCATTTCAATTCAGATATTATTGAACTTATTGAAGAATTATTTGATGGTTGATGGATCATTTTGTTAGATGATACATAGTAACGCGAAATCTCAAAACCATGATTGATGCTAAAGTCAATGCATTTGGATATTTTTTTTTGAAAAACACTAGAGTCGTACAGATGCAGAAGGGAATTGAGTTCAGAAAAGTGAAAAAATAAAAGCTTCAATGTCTCGTACATCTTTCCATTCAATCCTCTTAGAATTGGTTAGAATAAGTCAATGGAACCATTTATTTTGACTATTCTAGAGAAATTAATAGCATATCTTTTTACAAAAAAAATTGAAGTTTTTATGATTTGTCTGTACACATAGACAATACCTCTCAAAATTATTCGATAAGGTTTATTTTCAACTTTTTTTTTCGTTGATGTAAACGTCAATAAGAATTTTACTATAAGTGACTTGAGTAGAGGATTCTATTTTCAACAAGAACTTTTGAAGATGAAAATGATTGCTAGTTTCCTAAACATATAGTCTCTAAAAAATCAAGAAAAATAAGTTTTTTTCAATCATAGAATCCGCCAATAGAGTGTACAATTCTCTACACAATGAAAGACCTTTCAGTTCTCTAAGGGAGTTTTTGTCCAAATGCATCAATCTTACGAAAGGCACAGAAATAGTCGTTCTCTGAGACATAACAGAGGAAATTATTTTTGTATCTTCTGTTACTACTGACGACAAAACGCTTGCGAAAGGTATTTTCGATCTAAAACATCGAGAATACAATCAAAAAGAATTTTCTTGGATGTATTTAGATAGCGCTAGAAAAGCTGTACAAAATGATAATAAAATGTTAATATGATGGTAGAACATGCGAATATACTGTTTGAGTCTTTTTGATACATGATTGAACAACATTCAATGACAAGTTACTGCAGGATGAATAAAAATATTTTTCCAGAGAGTAATGCTTTGATTTTAAATGGAGGCAATAGCAAATTTTATATTAAATGGAAGCGCGTCAAAAACGGGTTTTATCGGTATCAAATGGTAAGGGTTCTACAAAACTTCTTGTATCAAATATAACAAATCTCTAGAAACAGGGTGCATAAAAATGGTTTTTACGGGAGTGATGCTGTGATTTTAAATATGGTCAATGATAAATTTTATATCAAATGAAAGCACGTCAAAAATAGGATTTATCAGTATTAAATGGTAAGGATTCTGTCAATCTTTTTATATCAAACATAGTTAATTTCTAGAAATTTGTTATATTTTATATTAAAAGATTGACAGAACACTTATTATTTAATACTGATATATCCCATTTTTGACGCGCTTCCATTTAATATAAAATTTTCTACTGACTCTATTTAAAATCACAGCATTACTCTCTGGAAAAATATTTTATCCATCCTGTAGTAATTTGTCATAAAATATTGTTCGATCATGTATCAAAAAGACTCAAACAGTATATTCGCATGTTCTACCTTCATATTAACATTTTATTACCACTTTGTACAGCTTTTCTTGCGCTATCTAAATATATCCAAGAAAATTCTTTTTGATTGTATTCTCGATGTTTTAGATCGAAAATACCATTCGCAAGCGTTTTGTCGTCGGTACAAATCTAGTCGTATCAAAACTAGAATCAATATTTTTATTTTCAAAATCACTGAACTCTTCATCGTCATCATGATCAAGAGCCATATCTGATTCGATTTCGTATCGATGGTCTGTCTCTTCAATTTCAGGCTAGCAGTTTTGCAATCCTCGTAGAATTAATCATCGTTCTCGTTACATGCTGAAGTAAAAGAGGAAATATCAAAATATCAAACGACGAAGACTCGCATGAATCACGTAGTGATACAACGTACTTTTGGGCATCACAATAGCCATAATGCAATCTCTGTTATCAGACATAATAGAACGTGATAAAACGTGTAGAATACACGTTTCTCTTTCTTTCTCACGTTTGGACTGATGTGTCAATAAAAATGCTTTGATTTACGAAAAAATTATCATGCCATACAAAGATGAATTAAATATTTGAAAATTTCAGAATAATATGTTGATGATCGCATAAATTTATCAGAACATTTCTAGCTTGTAGTACCTTTTAGTTTGTTATATATGATCAAAATCGGTGTATTATCTAAGAACTTGAAAATTTAATTTCTCAGAACAGAAAGGCCATAGGTCCGAATCGTTTTGGAGTTTATTCTAGTCTAGAGGTACCCCTCTGTATGTCTACAGAATGAGCTCAAAAGTAGCGAATGACTTCGGGTATTTTCCTCGTAAGACATAAATCTATTATGTTATGAAGATGAACATTTTAACGCTTCATTTTCGCGTATAATTTCATGTCTTTATTGTTCTATCTGAAATATTCATGAAGGAACGTCTTTATGCCAATCCCATACTAGGATATACCATATTTCATCCGTCATTTCATCATGAAACGTATGTATTGATGCAAAGCCGGCGTTAGCATGCGCACGAAGCGAGCGCGGATTCCTACTGGAAATGCTTGTAATGAGTAGCCGATATCGATCGCCGTATATTTCACGATGTTTATATAACATTCTTGTCAGTATCTTCTGTCCTCGAAAACCAATGGCTACACATGATTGACCCATGACGTAATAAGCATAATCTCGAAGTGGTTTATCCTCGTAATTTAGTATATTAATCATTGAGAATAAAGTATGAAGTTCCGGTACTTCTTCTGCAAACTCAGGTAACATCGAGAGTGCATATCCAACTACTTTGGAAGTGGCATCTTTAGCAATGATGCTCGGCATCTTCAGATTCATTCTCTGAAGAACATCATGTCGATGCTGAACAGTAACAAAACCTTCGGAGGCTTGCATCTCGGTTGGAATGTTTTTTGTGAGATTAGCTTGTTGAAGGGCCATAATCTCCAGTATGTCGGTCTCACTCTGAACAGTTGTGATAGATACCATTGAATAAAACAGAATGAACGATATGAAAGTATTCAATTGAATTATTGCCAAGTAAACTATTGGAAGAAAATGAATAGAAACGAATAATCAGTTCGAATGGCCCCTAAAAAAAAACGAAAATAACGATTTAGTAGCGATGTAACAACACAGCCTTATCATTTTAGTATGATGTTCTTATCAGTCATTGACTTTGCTTTCATTACATTTACGTAGTCATCATAGCTGCATTACGTTTAATAGAATCAAAAGATGAGGCCCAGGTGTAAAACGTCATCACAGTATATTTCGTTATTTGAGCATGACTTAGCAATATTGATTGGACCAACAAAGGAATCATAGTGTATCGATGAAAATATTCTGCTCGAGGGTATGGGTGTAAGAGAGTAAGCACAAAGGCAAAAATAAAAAAGTAAAACAAATCATAAAAATTCAGAAATTTCAGAAGAAGCAAGTAAGCGAAATAGAGAAGAGCAAAAGGAGCGAAGGAGGTTGCTCCTAAGTATTTTAAGGACAAAAAACAAGAAAACAGAGAAGCAAAAAAAGAAAAAAGGAAAAACAAAAGAAAAGAAAGAATGAAAGGAGAAGGAATCTGCATACAGAGGAAGCCTTTCGATGATAAAGTTCGAAATCGGATCATAACCTACTGATTTTTCGGTTTAAGAAAGCGAATTAACCGGCTGATTTCTTCAGTACTTGTTTTCTCTATTTGTTCATTAGAATTTGATAATATCCTCAATATTTCATTCAATTCGTTGTCAATTTTTACTTCATGTGCATTTGAACAATCGATCGAGAGTTTCAGAAACTGCTCGATGTAATACTTATGTAATTTTTTCCTAATTTCATCCTGTTCTGATAGTACTTTATTAGCATTTAATAGTTTATCGCATGGTTTTCTGCGTGATTTATAGATACGACCAAAACATTTTATCTTTGTAACCGTATGTCTGTTGAATTGTAATAAAAAAAAATCTTCTCATTGAACCGCTTTATACTTTTCTATTTCACTTTTTATTTCTTCACATAAGATGGCTCTTTGACATAGATGATAGTATTCTGACTTCTTTTAATTTCTCGATAATATGATGACGTAATGTTGGTCTGTATTTCTCGATCAACCGTAACGACTAAGATTCAGATTATAATCGAATAAAAACGGTATCATTACGATTTGTTGTTGATGAAGAAATAATACTTGTTGATCCAATATCTTCCATTTTTTAGCATGGGTATACTACACGAATAGCATATTCATATAAAACAAGATATACGTCAATGAAGATAACAATTCTTTATGATTGAGTATTATTACTTAATTGGTTCAGAGTCTTTCATCACTATTTAGCATAGGATCAAGATTCACTTTTTTTATTATTTGCTTGACTTCCTTATGATTTGATAAGAAGTGTTCAATCTCATCAAAATCGAAAGAGATCGTATTCAACGATGATGAATTAGAATGAGTATCATCTACATATCTGTAGTGAAATCATCACTAACTAGTAGAATTACATAGATGACAAATGTTCTGAAAGATTCATGTTTGGATTTAGCAAACGATTTAAAATGACATCTTATTTTAAAAAATGTTACTACGACATACTATTTCACCCGTACCCTGAAGACAGAACGTCAAGGCATCAGGGTATCCTATATTGATGATGGTCTCTGGTACGTCTAGCAATAAATAAAGAAAGAAAGAAAGAAAGAAATCTCTCGACGTAGTACTATAAAGTGGTTCACACAACATTAAAAATCTGCACACGATTCTTGATCGCGCATCCTGTATTTTTTCTGACTCAATGTAAGAAAGGTTATAAATCAAAAGTGAATCATAATCTTCGTGAAGTTGAAACAAATTTTATTGTTATCATTATTATAGCTTGATCGATGTCTTTCTTTTTTTTTTGTTCACATCTCATTATTAATTGCGTCACTACGTGACACATTCAGAAAAACAATATCGGATATATTATTCTTAGATGGATAATAAATATCTCTGAAAGTCAAGTTTGCGTTATACTCCAATTGCTTTTTTTTTAATTTCACTGTTAACAGATTGGCAACTCACACAGAAGAATCATTTCAAAAATAAAATTTTCTTTTTATCACAGAGAAGAATCGTTTTAAATAGAAAAATCAAATGATCATGATAATTTTGAAATCATATAGAATAAGTTGCTTAGTTTCTTTCTATTGAGTGAAATGTCATTTTCATGAAACACAGTTTCGATCAAATCTAACTTAATCCGAAAAAAAAATCAACCTTATCGGTCAGTAAAGCTCTACTCTAATCAAAAACATGTCAGAGAGGTTTCCATCCAAAGCAAATCACTTCCATTACGCTATGAATAAGATATGATTTAACATGATATTCTATTTGAATTCATGTTGTCTTGTCATTATAATCATGCAGAACATCTATTTAGCAGTTAGACAGTAACTTTCTTGTAACTATATTATTCTAGACAAAAATAAATTTGAGTTTTGAAGCATCTTCTTATTCAGCATAATGTTTACATTATCGAAACTCTTATTTTACTAAAAACGAGTAGGTGTTCATCGTATGAAATATAATGCATTAATTAAAATTTTTTTCTCGATATGTGTACTCAATAATTTTACTTTATAAATAAATGATCTAGATATCGAAGAGTTATTCAAGTTCAATTTATACTTTAAAAGTAAAAGAAGAATTTTACTTGTTTGAAATTTGTCTTTCAAATTCATCGTGAATATTTATTTAAAAAAGAAAACAGAACTAAGAGAAGCATAGGAAACTTTCATGAGGGATTAAATGAAAAGAAGAAAAAAGAAGAGTCAATTTGTCATTTCAAAAAAAAAATCACCGATCATGTTATTTGATCAATAACAGACCGATAAATGCCGGAATCACTATGAAAATGAAGCTCGCTTTGCCCATCGACGCTTCGTTACACAGATCCGTTGCACAGCAATAAAGGTAAGAGGTTATACCACTCTGTAGATTACTTCCCTCAGTACAGAGTCCTGTAGCCAAGTAGTGACGCGTTATAGCATTGGTATTGCTAGTAACTACTGTTTTCTACAAAGAAAACAAATTAAAATTTTACAAGAACATTAAAAAAATGCATACTGTACAATAAACAGCACTTGTATTGGATGTTGTTGTTATCACTCCACTACCTTGTGTATTAAATGATGGACCACATCCATCCGTACCCATAACACAAGAATAGCAATTGATAGCATTAATCCTTTGTTGTACAACTAAATAATTTTTATCGGAAGAATTATTTGAGTTACTTAAAAAAAAAATTGAATTTACCAAGAAAAATCAAACAATAAAGAGCAATAATGATTGAATTCATGATCGTCTTTTTTCTTCTTTGTCGAAGAGAAATGAAGTTTGTCGGTTATAACAAAGAATTAAATGAGAATCTGCCAGTAAGTTAGTCTAACTTATAGTCAACCGTTACTAAGCTATTGTTGACAGGAAACATTTTCGGACGAAAAAAATACGGAGAAATCTTTCATGTCATAAACGTTAATTACTTTTTTTTTCTCCAATAAATATTTTATCCAATACTCATATTGCTATTTGATTTTCATGCATGGTATTGTGATGTCAATGAAATTGGAATAACAGGAAAATAAAAGAAAAATAAGACATTAGATTTTTTTGAATATGAAATGAATGACTTTGATTTATAACATGCAATATTTAAACTTCATCGTTTAGATTATTTCTTTGAAAAATACATTAGATTTTTCTTTTGTAAATATTTTTCTTTTAAGCAAAATAAATTTTAAATAGATAGGAAAAATTTGATTAATACGAATAAAAATATAGAAGATATACTGATATGATTTTTTTTTTTTGAAATATTTCATCAAATGTTTAGAATATATTTTAAACTCTATTAGAAACCATATATTTCGTTGAATTGGTCGATTTTATGAATTTATCTTCAAATTTATCAAACAATTTTGTCAGTTACATTCTATAAGAACTTATGATAAAATATGGATTTAGTCGAGATAGGTTGATTGCAACTCATCCAATACTAAATGGATTAATGAAGATTATTTTTATACAGATAGATTTGAATGAAAACTTTGTTTTATATATGAATGAATTGCATTGTTTTTGTACAATTGTGTTTTTGAAGTTTTTTTTTTTGTTATAACTTTGGTTGCCGTCGTCCAATTTAAAAACTTTATTTTTCTTTTCTTCCTTTCTGCTTGTTCAAAACACTTCTAAAAACTCACTGAGACAAACATGTTAAAAGCTGAAAAAACTCAATTTTTTGGTGAAGCAACGTGTAATAAGAATGGATTTTATAACGAAGTTAAGAGATAAAAGAATATCTAAATAGCATATTTTTATTCAATATTCGATAGACTATTTAATTCTATTATTATTCGATGCAATTTCTTTCTTCCTGATCCTTTATTATTAAAAACACTGTTACGCACAACATGTAGGACGAGATTGAATGTTCCATTATAGAAAGAGCACTGAATTTGTTCTAAAATACATATTCAAATTCTTTGATAATTTTCTTTTAGTAGATCAAAACAAAACAGGAACTACTAGATTTTTCATTCATCTTGTAGGGCGAGATTTTCGAACTTGACAGGTCTGTAACTTCTGAAGGATCCGTCTGATTCTGATGAAACTTATACACAATATAAACTACAAAAACTTTCATTGTTCAAAGACACCCCTTGTTCTAAAAAAATTTTTACATTTTACAGCAAAATATAGAGCGAGATTTGTTTTTTTGAAATTTTTCAGTTACTTCACAGTAAAGTGACTAGTGCTATACATTATTCTATTTGTAGAACCCTTCTTTTGAGAGATTCCTAATGGAACTTACGAAAACTTCTTGTGTTCAGTACGATGAAATTTATCATATAAAAATTAAAACTAAAGTCCACACTCGAATATCTTCGTCATTAAGTAACTATTTGTTGAGAAATTTTTACTGGATACTAGAGAAAATGATGGAGAACAAAATACACGAATCAAATTTTCTGTAAATCAACTTTCATCGTTTTTTTTCATCAATTGTACAAAAAAAGTTGCAATTCATTCATATATTGTTTAAATAAAACGTTCATATTTGTATACATAGTGTCAACAAAGACAAGACTTTAGATCATAAGCATTATATTAAAAACTAGCGAGAATCCGTGCATACTGCACGGCAGCGTTTTTCTTCTTTAACGTACGACTTCAAAACTCTAACCTTTCATTCGGTAACAGACACAGAGACACTCGACACTATGTACATAGTAGCCCTACGGCATGATATTCTTATATTACTAACACATCATGTAACCTTACGGTCCTATAGCCTAACAACTTGCAACCTAATTCCCATAGAGCGCTCCCCTCTTGTAGCGTTCCTCCCTTATAGCTTTATCCCTTATTCTCTTACTCGCTATAGCCTCATTCTTCGACCTTTAACCTTTAACCATTGACTTGGGACAGAGAAACACACACACACTGAATATTATATATATATATAGGTTTCTGTGAAGCTTTTTATTAATACACAGCAAATCATCAAGTACAAAAAAATTTTACACATGCTTGGCAATAATAATCAACCTTCGTACTTATCCAAATGTTGTTAATTATTTAACAGAAGACGACTTCTTCAACATTGGATATATTTTGATAAATACATACTGATATTTTTCTGTCACAAGAATAAAGAAATATGAGTACAATAATTTTAAAAAAATTTCATTCATAATGTTCATAGTGAAAAAAATATGATTGATAAATTTTAATTAAACTACAGGGTACTTTGCTTATAATATCTATTAAATTCATTCAATGACACGAACGTGAAGAGAAAAAAAATTCGTTCTTTTTTTTTTGCTTGTCACTTCTATATTGTTGAATAGTAAGTATTTATGATATACACTGTTTTTTACCGTTCTATATCGAAGGGTCAACATACGGTCATATCAGCATTTTTCGTTCTTTTCGTATGTTCTATAACTAAATAAAAAACAAAAAGTACAAGTTCGTTCACTCATCAGTGAATTTACTTCGTACACATTTGGTAAGTATAATGATAGTGTATTTCGACCTAGCTTATAAAATAATCTTCTACATCGAATATTTATATTTCAAAAGAAAAAAAAACTATTAAAGTCAATAACTTAGATAAAATTGAAGATTTTTTTTTTTGATGAACAACGATTTTTTTTTTTTCGTCTGAGCTGTGTGTCGTCAAGGTAAAGATAAATAGAACATGAGACAGAGAGAGAGTCGTGTTCTTTTTTTTTTGTACGTCAGTGAATCATTGGTGTACAACATCGGGCATGAATATTTATTTCTTTTCTTAATAAAAATGAGTGTCGAACGAAAAAAAAGCTTTATTGAATAATGAAAAAAATTTATATCTTGTCAAAAAACGAAGAGATATTATTTTAATCGTATAAAAGAAAGAGTACACCAAAAAAATTGTTTCGAAATAACACACACATTAAAATATAATTCGTCCTTCGTTTGCTTGTCAGTGTTTTACCCAGATTTTTTCTTCTGAGAAGGTGAACACCTATTTTCGGGAGAGAACAGACACATGGTATGTGCTACATTAACCACAAACTGCGGAAGGATCACCTTGATCTTCAGCGGGGAGTTGCCTCTCGACTCTCGTACCGGACAAAATACTGCTACCTTCAAAGCATTTATTCATTATTCTATTTTGCCTATGCAGTTAAATATGATTAACTCAGTTGAAAATTTATATATATATATTTTTTTGTTCTAGATTATATTTCGATTAGCTATTGTTTGAGAACATATGAAGAGATCGATTGATATTCGAGAATAAATAACTGTGAAAACAATCTGAACCTGATCAAATCGACTAAAAACGGTCAAATCTTCGAATCTTTGAACTACAACAGAATAGGTTTTTATTAATTTAAATAAAATTGAAAACTAATTAGTAGATTTGAAAAGTCAAAGTAGATATTTTCTAATTGACTATTGATTTATTCAAGTATACGAAATAATTTTAAACAGAGTATTATCTTCAACTATATGTTCTTGGAATATTCATTTTCTAACACAATCATTCCGACCTTTGGAAATGGTGTGGTATTGCAGTAAATTTCATTGTAATTCGTCATTCTAATTTGTGGGTCGTTTTTTCCACTAGCAAATGGCCATTTTTTCTCACCATTTTATAGGATTATGATAAACGGCGATGTAATGTCGCTATTTTGTGAGGCATGGATATAGAGATTATGCCATAAGTGACTATTGGAAATGGTTTTCTTCATTTTGTAAATTGCTTGAAAATTTGGAACTTGTCTTTTTTTTGTTCCTACTGATTTACAATGAGTACAAGTTAGAAATCAGAAAAAAAACGTTCCTCGTACATTTTAGTCTGAACTCTTTAAAATAAAACTATTTTTAAAATTAGATTTTGTGCACATTTAATTTCCATTATAAACCCTATAATATAATTGTCTTCCTACAATAATATCGAAACTTAAGATATTGTGGGAAATTAATTAGGTACTTTATATAAAGATCTATTATTTGAATTCTATTGTAGATAAATTAATAATGGCTACAAAAAATTCAACATTTGCTTTATATAAAACTTTTATCGATGCTTATATGCAAGGTCATCCTGAAGTGGCCAAATGTGTATGTAATTTTTCGATTGATTTTCTCAATAAATACAACTGTTTCTTTCTTCTAGCTCCGTCATTACAATGCTTTAGCTGAATGGGATCAAATAAAAAATAATGAAGAATTAATTAAATCAAATATTGAAAAATATCTTGAAATTTCAAAAAAAACAATTGTAATTGCAACTGAAACAAAACCTTCTATTGATAATGAAATATCGACAACAACTTCACGAAAACGAACAATGTCATCTGATGATGAAACAGAAATTCAGGATCCATTATTTGATCCTGATGTTGTTATTCCAGTTGAACCAACATTTTCAAAACGTACAATAAGAAATTCTATTGAGATAAAAGAAGATGAAACAAAACCATGGGTTATACGTGGTATTGAAAAAGCTAAAGCTCGTGTTCAAGCTCATCTTGCAAAAATTGAAGCAAGACGTGTTGCAAAACAAACCCGTGTAAAAGCTCCAGCACAAGAAGCTCTTGCACAAGAAATAAAAGAAATATCTGAACGTATTGCTAATTTAATGCAAGTTAAAAATATGGGTTTATCAACAGAAGAAACAAATCATACATTAAAAAAATTAATACGACAAAAAAAAGAACGTTCAACTGAACTTAGTCTTTTACAATCAAAACAACGTGCTGGTTTACGTTATCGTCAACGACGAAAAAAACGTCTTGAAACATT